ACAAATTTTATGGGAGGATACATGGAACAAGGTAAAGAAGAGTATGCCAAATGGGCCAGAAGGTGGACCCAATTCAATGGATAGAATGGGTAAAGATCATGAAGGAAGGAGGACTGTCAGGGAATGAAAAGATGGTTCTGCATACCCTGGTGGGACACAGCAGTCTACCGGGGTCTGAACAAGGGTATAGATGAGAGATAGAAGGTAGGGAAAAAAGGAGGAATAACCTTCTCAAGCCACAGTGATCTTGGGGGGGGGGATGATCAGGTTAAAGTAGAGGTTAAGGTAAAGGGTACATGAAATGTCAATGGCAAATAAATCATATTGGCAATTTCCACAGACCAAAAGAAGAAGGAAATAGGTCTTAAGGAGCAAATGAAACAAGGAACATAAGTAAAGTGATTCAAACAGAGGGAGAGTCAGGGCATTGAGGACCACATTAGTGTCCCAATCCAGAAGGGGAGGATGCCTGGGAGGCCTCTGAAACCAGAAGGAATGCATGAGCACAGATAGAATAGGGGAAGTAAAAACCCAATTGTATCTGGAGAAATGAAAGGTATAGGAAAGGGCTGCCCTATATCCAGAAATTGAAAAGCCTGGTGAGAGATTCTGCCACCTGAGCCACCAAAGGTTTGGTGGCAGGAAATCCCCTGCCAACAGACCAACAGCAGAAGACCTCCCACTTGCACTGGTAAACTTCCATGGAATATAAACAAATGGAAGTAGCTAACAGGGAGGCAACTCCATGCGTGAAGCTGGATCTCTTCTTGAAGGACTGGACAAAAGCCAGGTTTGAAGATGCAGGATGGGAGATTAGGATGAAGAGCAGGGGATCAAGGTTGACACAGAAGGGAGGAAAACAGTGGAAGAAGGACAGGTGGTGAGAGGAGTAGACATTGGAGCCTCGGAAACCAGAGTTATGCTGGCCAATGGGGTGTAATCAGGAGGTGAAAAGGAGTGGAGTGTACCAGAGAAATCATTTGATGAAGTAAATGGTTTGGAGGGTACACATAAAGGTATTTGTGAGACCAATCCTGGCTGAAGGCATCGACAGCCAGAGCCTGTGGATGCAGGACAGGATACCAAAAAAGGGGCAACTTTGTATTGAGGCTCATGGCAAATGCATCCAATTGGGGAGAACCCCATAGGAAGAAAAGGTATCTGAAAATGATCAGATCTAATGACAACTCTGTGGGAAAGATTTGGCCTAGACGTGAAAGATGACCAACTACCAGATTGAAAGCATCTGGCATATGACATGAGAAAAGACGAATGTGATGTTCCTGAGCCCAGTATAGAAAATCCAAGGTACAGAAACAAAGATCTCTGGACCAGTTTCCCTCTTGGTGGTTGATATGAGCCACCACCACAGAGTTGTTGGAATAAACCATCACCAGATGGTGATAGGTGAGAGAAAGGAAGTGAAATAATGCCCAATGAACCACCAGACATTCGAGAACATTAATATGCAAAATGAGTTTGTCTACAGATCAAGGCCTGAAGCTTCATGGTGATCGACCCAACCCCCCAATCCCTGAAGGGAAGCATCCATAAGTAGATGGATATCTGGATGCAGGGAAGAAAGTGGCACACCTGCCAACATATGGGTTATGTCAAGCCATCACAGCAGATCAACTCTCAGGGAAGGAGAAAGGGAAATGGTGGAAAGAGGATCCTGTGTAAGGTTCCCTCAGTCATGGGTCCACTGCAGAGATTTACTATGGGCACGACCGAGGGGGACCAAAGCAGTCATGGAAGACCACATCCCCAAAAGCAATAGAACCTCTCAAGCTGTAAGTGACTGAGCTGAGAGAGGACAGTGAACTAAAAGTTCCATAGAACTTAGACATAAAGGAGATGGGAGAGTTTGACTGATGTTGGTGTTGAAGAAGACCCCCAAATACACTAAGTATTGGGTGGGTCAAAGGATCAATTCTCCAATTTTATCAACCAGCCCACTCGAGCTATCACAGAAAGGAGTTGGTGAGTGTGTTAGGAATGAGCAAGAAGTAGCCAGTCATCCATGTAATGATGAAACTGCAAACTAAAAGTATGAATATGACGAGCAAAGGTCCAAATGATGCAACAAAACACGTATGGAGCCGAGGCAAGTCTGAAGTCCATCTCAAGGTGAGAAAAGACTTTATAGTGAACTTAGAAAGTGTGATGAAGTGGCTGTGGCACAACAAATCAATGACTGGTCACTAATCTCTGGTTTTCTTGGGGACCGCAAAAAGACGGGAGTAAAATCCCTCCAAGGAATGGTGAACTGGTTCATAGGCCAGTGCAAAAGCAAATCCTGAAACCACCTCTGACCAATGATGGCAAGTCACGAGATCTTGAGGAGGAGGAAAGGAAATGGGGTGAGGAGAAATAGGAAGCGGGTAAAAAAAAATGTGAGAACGAGTCCTTCTGAAAAAACCTTTATCACCCATTGATCCTTGACAAAGGGGAGCCAGAGAGGAAGAAAATCCAACAAATGAGCTCCCACAGGCCCTGAACCCAATGGGTAGTTACAGGTTTTGTTGATAACAGATGATACATCAATAATGACCTCAATGAAAAGAAGTATCTAGATTTGAAGGAATAGGTAAAGGATGAGAGGACAAAGGGCGAAAAATGTGAATAGCTGGCATGGAAAGCTCTGGTCGAGACAAATGGGCCACAAAAGTTGAAAAGGTGGACTGTTGTTGGGAGGATGTTACCCATAGCTCAATATCATCAGGGAATGTGTCAAAGAAAAGGAGCAAGACATAAATCCCTGAGATAAGTGAAGGGTAATTTAACATGAGCCAGAATGGAATCCCTAATAAAAAGGTCCCAACAACAAAGAAACCACGTATGTGATAACAGAGCGAAGGAAGAAATACGAGTTAAAGTGGAAAAGAGAAAGTGAAGGGTATCGGCAGAAAATCCCTCAGGATTTCTGTAGAGAGCCTTCAAGAGGAGATGTATGGAGGACAGAGACCAGAAAAGGGTAGTAAGGGTAAGACGAAGGTGAGAATATTGGGCATGTGTGAGACTAACATTAGATTTGGGAGGGTGAAAGAGGGGATGCGATAGGTGAGTATGGCAAGTAGGTATGATTTTCTAGTTTATAATTCTATAAACAAATAACATTGAAGGCTGTAAAAATTAGACTTTGCCTTAGTAATATCCGTATTATACTGAGCAATTTACATTAAATTTCTTACTTCAGAGAGGTATGGTAAATAAACTAGAGAAGAGGCAAGACTTAGAGAACAAGTGTCAAAATTCTCATACTAGAGGATATTGAGAATTTTAAAACTATTTCCTTATAAAATTAAGAACTTAAAATTTATATTAAGATCTGATTTATTAACTATGTTTTAATGCTAGGTTTATTCATATACACTGATAATAATTTTGAATGTAACTCTGTAAAAGGTTGTGTCATTTGCACTTTGAACTACCCATAGTGATAGGGGTTAAAATATACAATGGAAATATTAATTGTAGTTCATTGATATGAACCATGTGAAATACACTTATTAATACTGTGCAACAGTTTTTAAAAGTTTTTAACAGAATTATCATTCATTAGAATATTCTGCACATTATATATATCAATTATGTTTTTAATACAAACTACAAAATTCTGATATTGTACTTATGTCTTTTCACAAGATAAGCTGTTCTAGTTCAGTGCTGCCCTCTATGTGCAAACATTTTATTTCCATATGCCACAAGCCATGTACCATGTACTCCCCTTGTTGGAATAAGTACATTCCAATGTGTCTCATGCAAGTCATCATGAGTCATCTATTAACCAGCAGTAGCATAGTATGCTCACATGATGCATATGACTCCCTCTACACTCCATTACCAAACCCCCACTTCTCGTTTAGCAGCTTTTAAGTACAGGCATTTTCTTTTGTGCCTTGAGCTTCCCATGCGACATATTTTTGATTTTCATTTGAAGTGGTCCTATTTTTTTATTTTTTTGTTATACATTACCACATTTCTCCCAGTTTACTAACGTCACTTTTCTGCACTAGACAATTTTGTGCAGTTTTCATGAGTTAGGAATTCCAAAGTCAATGTTACCACTTTGGGGGTCACACCAATGACCAATGTTTTATCTCGGGCCTCAGGTGCGGGTGACCTGACTATGGATCTTTCTGATTTTGTCTGTTGGGAGATTGAATGCTACTTGGGTCACCCTTTGTCCCCTGATGTTGCCTGAACTTATTATGATTCTGCTGATATTATTAAGCAGGATGACGATTTTGATCATCTTTTTCCTCCTCTTAAGTTTGCCATTACTTCCCAGTTCCAGCCTGAAGATTAACCTAGTCTCTCCTCGGCTTTCATGGATTTTGTATCTCATGTTTGTGATGTTTTGTCTCTCTCCACTATTTCTTATTCCCCTCGTGCTTCTTTGTTGCATGAGCACTCTTCACAACCATTTTTGGTATTTCTTCCCTCTCCTGATATTTGCAGATCACTTTCTATCCCAGTTAGATAAAGAGATAAGCATGCCATGCACCCCGAGAGCCTCTGATTAGTACACCCTTGTGTATCATCAGGCAGAATACCCATTTTTGGATCCTCAGTTGTTGGGTTCCTTATTACCTTTTTGGGGGGCAGTTTCGATACTTGTAGTGGGCACAGTACAGATAGCACATTGTGTATATTTGTGTTTAATAACAAAGAAACAAATTAATAACATTTTCGATGACGAGGAACCCACTTTGAGACTAATAATGGCTGGAGACGGCTTGAATGGGTAATGAAGAAAAACTTTAATATAAGTTTAACATAACAGCAAATGTACAACGTTGTTATGACGGAAGAAAACTGTCTTAAATTCCTGTCCCTCGGTTGGTCGGCGGTAATTTCAAGGACTTACAATTTCAAAATTCAGGGTTCGATTCTCTGTGGTGTACACGGCAAATAGCCCGATGCGGCTTTACTCCAAAACAAACAAGCAAACAAAGTACACAAGAATAATTTAGACCTTTTTCAACTAAGACAGATGTACGTCATAGGTGGAGCTATATCTTAGCCGGCTATTTCACGATGACGAGGAGGCTTGATGTATCTGCTATAAACAGCGGATTTTTGGATTCTTTTGACTTCGTTCTGACAGATTGTGATGGTAAATGATATACTATTTTTGAATATAGATAAAGAAAATAGTAAGACTTACAGATGTATTTACTCTGTTTACCTCATAATTTGGTGCACGACTTGACTGTGCCGGGGCTTGGCTACCACGGCACGAGTACTTGAACAAGTTGAAGTAGCGTAACATACGGACAACAACATGAACAAGGGATCATTTTGCCATTCAAATATACTTTTTTGGGGTATGTCCAAGTTTTTTTTTGTTATGCTCAGCGTTTCGGCCGTACACTTACCTAAGGAGTATAGTTTGAGCAAATAAAAACATTCAAAAGGTTTTCTGGAGTTAACAGTAACAGTCGTTTTATTTTTTAATTATATATATATATAAATTATAATACATAAATTAATATAGTTATAGTTATAGTCCAGTCAGCATTAGGTAATTAAAAAATATATAATAAAAACTTTTCAGATATGTCCCTTCCAATACACCATTGAGAAAAATTAAACTTTATTTTTATTTTTCAGCCAATTATTGATCACACAATTTAAACTTGTAAAGTGCTAGTCTTCACTGCTGCAAGCAGCAGCTCATTCCTTAAGTAAATTGTACTGTAGTGTTAAATAAAACCCTCTTAACTGGAACCTATAAGTGGAGAGTGAAAAGACCGATTGGAAAGTAAAGTACAAAATACTTACATTTTCATACAGCTCACATACAACATTTCAGGCAGGTGTCTTTCCTTAGGCTCAGGTAACAGTTGGTACTTTACTGATGCTCTAAAACTATTGTTCTCTCATTTGGTTGTTTCAGAATATAGCATAAAAAATCAGAGGCCTTTATCATATTGATGTCCTAGATAATCACCTAAATATCAGTAAGATCACTTTTTATTATTCTTTTCTCAAGAGAAAATAGGTGAAGACTATATACACGATGGTTGGATACCTGGTTTTGTTTTTTGAAAGGTTGTATACAAGATAGTTATGCATCTGTTACTCATAAAACTACATAAGAGATGGACAATCACTGTCTAAGAGTATATATTCATATATATTTACATTTAAATATGAGTACTTCATAGTATTGTACATGAAGGCAAGGGCAATAGTTTCAAGATCCTAGTGTCAAGCATTAGAATTTCCCTTGCTCTAATTGATTTTGTTACCTTTACCAGTTGTTTTTTTTGTGTGTGCCTGGTGAGATTAAATTTATGGATTTTTTTTTCATGAGTAACAGTATAGAAATATTAACTGTTGTCTACCTTTGCCCAATTGCCCAAAGAACTGTAACTGGTAGAAATAAGCATACTATATTTTTTGTGCTTTTTTATCTTCTAAGTTAGATTTTTTGGTCAGATTATGATAGGCTAGGTTTGTCAGTATATAGCTTACCCAGGAAAGATGACACTGGTAATATTAAATAATCTAAAGCGGTTGTGTAGGTATAGTCAAAATTATAAGTTGTTTTCACAGTGGTTGTATATTGTAGTTATTTTTATTTTACTATATACATGACAGTTGTATAGTTATTTTTATTTCATTATATACATGATGGTCATGTATATGCCTTTGTAACTTGTTTTCCTGATTATATACAGAACACTGTCTCGATGGCATGAGTGACATAATCACCATTATGCCATGATCTTTTTCTTCAGCCATGCTATTGAATAGATTTCCATCTATATTAAATATGTGATCCAAGTTATTCGGTAATACTTCATCATTCTCAATACAGCTAGCATTATTCAAGTTTAATATCATCCACATAACTAACTATTCCCCCCCATCAGTATCATAATTGTAAATATGAAAAAGGAAAGGTCCAAGCACTGGTCCCTGAGGCACATTACTGGATTCAAGGGTCCAATTTCACTGGCCATCTATTAATCCAGTTAATAAGTATGTCCTCATATTCCTTTGATGCAATTTTCTTACTTATATTCTTTATGGCACCGTATCAAAAACATTTTGAAAATTTAAGTACATCAAGCCCATACTCTTTCCATCATCCAAATGATAAGTAACGTGTTGAAAGAAATTTAACAGAGTACTATGGAAAGATTTCCCTTTAGTGAATTCATAGTGACTATCTTTTATTATATATTTTTCACTAAATGATTTTATATACTTTATTGAATGCTTTCCACAAACTACAGAAACAAGATTAACTACTGTATTTGCCTCAATATAATGCACACTTTTTTCCTTCTAATACCTCCTGAAAAATTGACTGCATATTATATTCACATATGTTCAATTTTGTTAGGTATTTTATTTGAAGCTACTACCAAAAATCATTAAAGCATAATTAAAGGTTTCAAAAAAGATTGTATATCCAATGCAATAGATAGGATGGATGATGAGATGCTATGGGAATCAGAAGAGGATGAAGCAAAGGTTTCAAGGAAGTAAGTTCAACGAATCTGATGGTAGCATCGGTTCTAGCAATGATGAAGATTTATATGAAGATGAAAGATTAGCTTAGTGTATTACCACATATAAACTTTATAAAATATTTTGTAAAATTGACGCGTAAAAAAAATTTCAATGCAAGATTTCCAAAAATTTTAATACATCGATAGTTCTTTACTGTAGTTAGAAACTATTCAGTATATTTTGCATAACTGATGTGTAAAAAAACAAATTTTTTTCAATTTAAATTTCAAAATTGGGTGCACGTATATTCAGGCAAATACAGTACATACATTTTGTAGCTCATTTACTAGTTGCCTGCCTGAGGTAACACAGCACATAACTAAATTTTGCTTATAATGTACTTTAAATATCTAATATTAAAATGTGTTCTTATTTTCACAACCTGGATTATACACCAAGACTGACAAAGTCTTTTGCAATTAGAGAAAGATTGTTAACAGTAAGTAGAAATGCAAGAAAAGTATATTTAATTAGCTATACTGTTTACCAGGTTGATTTTTAGTTTCACTCTAAGTTGGTAACCTGTTCTGATTGGAAGTTAATATTAATTAGGAAATTTTGATAATTATCTGCTTAAAAAAATCTAAATTGTTGATTTGAGTAAATACATGTAATGATCAACAGTGTTCCAAAATAAACATTTCAGGGCCCTTCCAGTTTGTTTTTTTTAAATAAGAAAAATGCTAATTTATCAGTACTTTTTTTCTTACACTAATCCAGTTCTTTATCTATTTTATAATAACTTTACTATTAATCCCATAAATGTTGTCCAGTTACTATAATTACAATTGTTGTGAAGTTATTTTCAGTGGTTTTATATAAATCACACTATGCATTATCAACCGAAATGCTCCAATTCAAAAAATGATTTTAAGTTATAAAGCCCTTTCTAAAAACAGTAATAACTCAGTGCCAGCTTTCCCAAGAATTTCCTAAGTTACTCCAGGCAGTGGATTCAAACAATTTGCAACAACACAAGTCAAAACTAAAAAATTTGTTGTTTTATTGTTTTTTCCTCTTCCTTTAATTTTTTCTTTTAAAAAAAGGAATTTTCCTGTTACAAATACTTGAGAAATAATAGCTGAAGTCCCTTATTAGGTCTGTTAAGCTTCTGTATGGTTTTAGGATAAGCCGTATTAGGGCCATGAGCTTTTCACTTTTTCACGAGAAAGTTTCTTAAGTTATTTCTTTTAAACAGCTTATTTTCCAATGTTAATAGCATTTCAGAAAAATGTCTTTCTTACTTTCTAAGGAATGTATCAGGTTCAGAATTTTTTTTTTATTTATTTAGTAGTAACTAATTGTATAGCACTTCCATTATAACAAGCTCCTTTTGAAATTGCTTCTATATATCTTGAAAGTATAAAGAAAAAAAAAAACTAAAATATTACTTAGATGGTTTGTTAACAAAATAGTGACGTCACGAAGAGGGAAAGAATGTATAAAAGTGATTTATGTGTATTTGTGAAAAGTCAGAACCTTTTTGCAGACTGTGTTGCTGTTGTGACTAGCTAATCAGATTCCAGAAGAGCTAGATCAGTAAAAATATTTTGTATAACAATATAGAAAAATCTTACCACTATATTTCAAACTGTCTAAATCTCACTTTGAGCGAATGTCTGGTTTTGCTTATAGTTTGCAAGTAGGATATATGTATATACATAAATATAAAAATAAGTGGCACTAAAAGTTTAAAACAATAGGATAATAATTTAATATAGATTATTAAAATTCCCAAACAAAAAAGTTAAAAACATATAAAATCATTATTTTGTTGCTAATATACTTATTAATGCTTATAAACTTGAGATTTATATTTTTCAGCATAGTTTTGTATGACATTTGAATATACATTTTTCTTCCTATCCTAACATGAATAATATATAAAAAATTATCTCTATTACAGATTGTAGATAATAAACAGAAGAAACATAGATGTAGAAATTGAGATGTTTCTTTTACTACTATATAAAGTAAAGCATATTTTGAATTTGAGAACTTTTTCATAGTAGACATATTAAATAGAGAACAACCAAAGTACCATTATTTACTGAGAACCATGGAATATAAACCTGTAAACAAACTACAGAATAGAATGCATGTACTATACACAACATCCTGTTTTACAGGAATTATCCAGAGGTTGGAAATAACAGTCACTTGTCAGTGAACTGCGTGTAGGTTTTACGTGTTATAGACAATCTACTTGTCCCCCTTGTGGGACATTGGTAAGTGGTAAGCAGATAGCCCAATGTGACTTTGCTATAACAAAACACACACACAGACTACTTGGCGACATGATTATTAAATATTTTGCAGGCATATACAAGCTAGTTTACATACTGTAATTTTTATTAAACATTTAGTGTTTAAAAATATAATAAGTTTAATACTAATGACTTATAACAAGTAAAATTGTAATCATTCTTTGCCAGCTTGTAAAAGATGTACACACCAGAACACCTTTTTATTTATTGTAAAATGCAGTTCTGGCTACCAAAATATGTGCTAAGCATTCCAATGTGTTTTGTCCTGTGACTGCAAATATATATTCATAGTTAAAGGTTCTGCTTCAACTTGAGCACTGAT